TCGTCGACGATACTAGGTCACGCCGCACAAACCGCGCGCGGCACAGACCTCTGCGATTGGGTGATTCAGATTCCACTAATGTGCACAGCTCCACCGACCGAAGGGCTTCTGGCCACATGTTGACAACGCTGGACAGCGTCGAATTACGTGCCCTCACGACTTACGTGGCCCTGAACGCAATCTGTCCATGAAGCCAACTTGCTCCTGCTAGATTAGGACTAGCACTTTCAATCTTGGCACCTTGAGTCGACTAATGTCTTGTGCAGTTTCTCGTGTGAACGGTCAACGTGACAACCCAAGCTGGAACATTTCATTGCGTACTCCTTCTGCTTAAAAATGGGGCCGATAGATCTCCTCCTCAACGCGTCTGGTATCCTTTCTTCTGTATTCACAGTGTTTAGGGTCCACGCTAGCGACCTGATTCCGTGGTCAAGGCAACGGCTTCTACGCCTCAATCGGTACCCCATCCGGACCAGTTGCCTTCCCAACCTTCATCTTCNAGCGACCTGATTCCGTGGTCAAGGCAACGGCTTCTACGCCTCAATCGGTACCCCATCCGGACCAGTTGCCTTCCCAACTTTCATCTTCCCTATTGCTCGACAGCCCTCATCTTCTCCTCAGAGAGCGCTAGGGCCAGCCGTTGCCTCTACCTGGGAGTTGCTCACACGTCGAAAATGTTCGTTCAGGAGCCTGCCAATAATTTCCTTCAATCTGACCTCACCAAGCCCCCTCTGAATTGCGCCGTCGCTGTCCTTCCAGCTCTTACTACTCTGGTGTCTTAAATAGCCAGGTACCATGCCTTAGCCAGCCGAAAGACGTGCTTCTCTTTTTATGGACCATCGAGCTTCTCATACAAGGCGTCCATTCCTGTATTCTTCGCCTTTGCTACGGCAGCCTTGGCGAACCTCTTGCAACTTTGGTAAGCAGCTTTTCTTCTTTTCCAAGGTTTGTAGGTGGCCTCCTGCCTCACAACCCGTTGGACTTCATCGTTCCGGAAACGTGCGTCTCTTCAATCCACGTCGTGTCTCCAAAGCCCTCTTTCCCTCACAAAGCGTGGGATCATTTTCCCGATGTCATACAGGTCTGCTGGATCGGTCCTTCCAGGCTTGAGAGAACAGCTCCCAATACTTTCGTTTTCATTTCCGACTCGGTGCAGTCTCCACCACTGGATCCTACTCTCTGTTTTCGTTTCCTTGGGAAGCTGGATGGCAAGGTCTGCGAGGAGAGGTTTGTGCTGGCAATCAGAACTCGCTAGAGAGTACCTTGGTGTCCTTCACACTTTTGAAGAATAATCTTCTTACGAGTACATGGCCTACTTCTGTTTGTTTCCCTCCACTGCTGCAGCTCCCTTTTGCTGTTAAAGACCCATTGTTCGTATTCTAACCACCATAGACTTGGTCAGTATTAAAATATATTGTCTACAATTCACATTATTAGTTACTGATGAGTGATACTCGACTATAAAAGCCTATGATGTACAAGTCAGTTGTCGTTTCGTGCTCACAAAAGCACCTCGTTTGGGAGCTTCATTACCTTTTGAGTTATCCATTCAGTGAAGGACAGGCTACTAAGCCGTGGCCTATGGTCTCTGACTCCTTTTTCTCTACCTCCTGAACCTTTTCTAAGCCTATCCATTCGATGCCGACATGGCCATTTAGATCACCCGCTATAGTGAGATAGTCTCCTTCTGAAACTGAACTAACGGCTTCGTCAAGGCAAACGTAGAACTCATCCTTTTCACAGTCGGGACTACAAGCTTGCAGTGGGTACACTGATATTTTGGTCCATTATCTCTTTTCACAGCCATGATCCGCTCGCTAGTTCTGCGGTTTGCAGAAACGCGGTCTTTGAGGGACTCCATTACCCTAGGGCCATCCGAAAACGTTTGGTGTCTTCTTCGTTCATGAAGCTTTCCAATTCCTCTGGCCTATGCACCTTTCCAGCGTGCCTTCTGAACATATAGGACTTGGATGTCCCCCGCGATTCATCAGATCAGCTACATCTCGCTAACGGCTAACTTACATCTGTACCTGTAGATGATTCCACGTCTACAGACCCAAATCGATCTAACTTTTTAGGCCGATGTTATTCACTCCTCACAAACTTTCTCCAGAACTCAACTGGGGTCCTTTGCAACAATTTCGAGTAAGCCTTGGCTCGCGCTCTTTCAAAGTGCACACATGAGCTTACACTTACCCACTAGGGAGTAACCCTGTTTAGGTTTTTTGTCCGAAATGTAACCGGTCCCTTACCATGTACGCGTAGTCAGGTAGTGACTGCGCATTTATTGCCTCACAACCTATTTTGAGGCATTCCTCGGTGGCTGCTACGATCGACTTGCCGTGCACCATACGTACCATCAAACCGGAACATTCCTGAAAGCGATTCTTGTCACAACATCGATTATAGGAAGACTGACTGCAAACTCACCTGGTTGTAGTAAGTGATGAACAACGGTTGCTGGGCTTTCTCATGAGGAACGTCGTATATACTTGCTTCCGTTACGAGATCACTGCTTTTCACCTGTAATGAAGATGAAAAGAAGGAAGTTTCTAGAGTCAATCAGTCCCGTCTGGGGGGTACGCCCCCGCGTTCGACTTTCATTCAAAATCGTAGCAGCGTAATGAACGCGCATGTGGCCTATACAATTGCACTTGCGATGGCCAGCCGATGCGTAAATCAGTCCTTTTATCCTTTCGGACGAATCTGGTATCAATTATCCGACTGCGGAAGAACGGAAGGTTTGGCCTAAGCGGATACCGATTCGGGATTCGAACTCGTGACCCTTATAGTGAGGTAGGTATGCTGTGAGTTGAACACGACATGCGGTGAAAAATGCTTCCTAGCTTCTCTGCTGAAGGCTAATTTGAATCGTTTTACATGAAACTCGCTATGTTGGCTCCCAAAGGGGCAAACTCCGTGGTTCTTCTCCAGAAAATTACGATCGGGGTAGCACATTCAGGTCTGTACCAAGCCCCGGAAGAGTTCTTTGGAACTACCAGATTTTTTGATTTTTCAAAATAATAACACTGCTGCTTACTTTAAGGGGTGGTTGCTCACATTACCGAATGATCATAACTGACTATATTAGTAAATATTCAGAATTAGGATAAGCAGACCTGTATTTGTCCGGATTGCATGCCATAGCGTGAATCAGCGATGCCTGCGGTACCTACTTTTCCCAGACTGTATGTCTTGGGGTGTTGGTCAGCCATCTGCGGTGGTGAAGCCGTGGTCTCGTTCATTCGCATGACCGGTACAAAAGTTTCTTGGTAAGCTGAGCCGCGAGATGACAGACTGGTGATTCCTTTATTGGTCATTCCAACATCTTGAGAAGGTGGCACAGCAGGGGCTCGAATGAGGTTCGGACGTTCTGCAATATAACCACTCGCTGTCACTAGTATGTTCTTCTGGTCATGAGGTGGCAGCTGAGTGGGTTCGTAAGCTGGTGGCAAGGGGGAATGCTCTGCAACGGCTGATTCCTGGATTTGAGACTGCGTTAAATGTGCCGATGGTTTTCTTGATTCCTGGTAAGATGGGGGTTCTGGTTCAAACACTCTTGACTCCACTGTTCGTATCGCTCCGGTAGCTGGCGTGTAGAAAGGGGATTCTGGTGGCTGAAAAGCCAGGGTTACTGTAAGTCGTTTACTTACGTTATTTAGACTTACATTCGAGTGTAACGTGTATGAGTTTCCCAATTGACTGAATGGATCTCTGGGCGTTGGCGACGAGATGTATGATGGTGCCGCCACTGGGTGTACAACGGCCAACGGAACGATTGCACTACGATCAGCTGGTCGCATTACAGGTGATGGGTGCGTTCTTGCAACGGCACAAGCACAGTTCTGACACTCACAACCTGGCACTCCTGAAATACAGTGAGATTTTCGAACCAATTGACTAGGGTTCCTTTGAACAGAAACAATAAAAGCAGATGGCTATGATGTAATGGGAAGTAGGTTGTTTGGATAAAGAAAAATTGGTGACTGAAGCCCGTGGGTGAAACCAAGTATTCCAGTCATTGCTTTTTCATCTTTTCTGCCTATTCTTAGCTTGATTGTGTGGACAACGAACTTACTAAAAGGCACGGCGACCTTAACCTTGAAGGCAAAATATCCAACTGCGGTTTGGAGGAAAACGACAGGTTCATTGACTTTCTATTAGGATTTCGTTTCTCGAGTAAAAAATGGATTATACTCGATGACTCTAATCTTGAAATAGACTGATTCCTGGATAGCCTACCGCTGGACTTTCTTGGCTTCTGATCGATGATCTGCTTCCACGAATGTCCCAATGATCGAAAACTCCTTTTTTGCTACTAACTGGAGCGTTCGAACACTAATGTTGTTATCGAGGTTTGCCTTCTGACGCGTACAAAAGAACCACTTCTACAACCAAATTTCGCTGAAGCTGACTGTGAGCTTGAATACATTATAATTCTACTCAGTCAACTGGTGAGTAGCTTTGAAAGGATATATCTCTGTTGATAATCTTTACGTTGACTCTATGACATTCTTATTTTTTATGCATATTTCTGACTAGTAATGTACCAGGAACGTGGTATATCCACAACAAGCAATCTCGCTGCTCAAAACCTTGTCTCTTTCTGGTACAGCAAGTCTTCTTTATAGGGTATTCGTTACAAGTGTGCTGAAGTAGGTGGCCATCTACGGATATTCCTGGCCGCCAAAGAAAGGCCAGTAGAGATGAACGAACTCAATAGAAACCTTTTCCATAAAACACACGCAAAGCAAGAATAAAAGGAAGCAGAAAGAAAGAGCAAGCAAGAAAGCATAGTAGTGATTCGGAATGATTTGGGAGGGCACCTGGGGACTGACGACCAGAAGCGGAAACACGTGTAAAAATCCCATGCCTGTTAGAATCCCGAGGCGACTGACTCTGAAAAAGACTTGGAGCAAATTCCCAGAAAAGCTCTTCCCTAGTGTTACTAAAACCCCTTCTGCATTACCCCCCTCCCCTCGGTGTTGCATTATCTCGAAAACATTGCCGTTTGATGGGAATCGTCAAAATATTTATGCAAAATTTGCCGTATAATAATGCGAACCACTCTGCACGATATTAAACGCTGATGTTTAGCAAACCCCCCTCCCCCCACATGGAAGGAGTTCGTCATAAAGGCTATTCCTAATGCTCCTAACCAATTTCGGTTCCATAAAAATGTAGCTTTTCCGGTGTCAAAGCCTTTGAAGACGCTCATACGTAATCTATTGTTCTCGATCTCGACAAAAACAGATCAATTCCTGTCGAACACCATGGTTTTGCATCTCGGGCATCAAGATTTTCGATTGGAGACTAGCTACAAATCAATGGCGTAGACAACCCAAATATATCTATGTCAATCAAATGGATCGTTCACAAAAAGCTCCCTTCAGACTGATTCATCATGGTACCGGCGGTCCAACTCTCGAATGAATAAAATAAATAGAAGGCATATGTGCATTACAGTAGGCCTGAGTTATTTTCGAAGATATTTGTGTAGTGGTGGTTGCACAAGGAAAGGTTTGTCCCTTTTATCATCTCTGTATTATAAACACTTGAAATTTGTCCAGCAGCTCCATGAGGGAACATTGAAAGTCTCCATGGAGGCTGGCGGCACTCAGTGTGCAGCCAGCCCCCATGGGAAGGCATAGCCCCTGTAAATGGACTCAGGTAAGGGTGTGTCACACATTCAATCACTCTACAGACAAGATGATGTAGGGGGAAAACAGCGAGAGGATATCTGGTGATGTCAAGATGGCATCAGTGCTTAATATCTCAACACGACATCGGGGCTCCAATTCGGGTAGACTGAGAGGGCTCAACATGTCTCCAATAGCATGAACATGCAGTGTCAGATGACGATAGCGATCTAGGGTTTTGTCTAAATTCAGAACGGAATCCCAAACATCACATAAGACAGAAGATGGATGAGTGGAAAGGTTGGTTAGCTCGGGTGGGTATCAATGCGGGATTCAATCTCCCAATCAGAGTGGTAGTACATCACTTGACGCTACACCATCACCGCCTTTCTTACGATCATATTGAATGAAAATAAACTCCACTAGCTCTCTCGTTAAGAGTTAGGCTCATATGTACACAGAGATAGGCTACGAGATGGACCCCTGCTGAGCCGAAAACCGTTTCTCGCAGAAGTTGCAAAAAATAGTGACGGTACCGGCTTCAAACCCGGGACTTTTTTTTTGATAGTTTGACTGAAGAAACCTGTCGCAACAACTATGGTTAAGCTTTTGTTACATCAAATGTGATTAGGCGAGCGATCCGTTTCTTTACGGCAATTCCAGACCCTTTTCTCGTCCTGTTGGCGTGCAACTGCAGTTGCCTCAAAATCATCCAAAGCGTTACTTCAATTGAAAGGAAAAATGGTAACTTGAATTGAATACAGGGAATACCTATAAATGGTGTCCGACTTCGAAGGAAATCGCTTTAAGGAGATGTCCAAAAGAATCAATCCAACACCGAACACAGTAGCTTTCAGTCTTATTCGATTCCTTAGCCATTTCTTCAGTTGCACTTCTTCCGCTTCATTGACCTTTGCCCCTTTGAGACTTGTGATTACTCTCCGCTGACTTCTTTTAATGGATTTGTTTGAATCGTCTCACGTGGGGCACGTAAAGTCATCAATTTGAGTGTGAGGGTGAGCCGTGGGAAGAGTCCCTGGCATGAGGATGAGGAAAAGATGTGACGGGCATGTCCTTACATTGTCTTCGCAGTGAACGTGCAGACGTAACCTTTCGGTAAAAAACTGAAGCAAGCGTACAAGAGATTCAAACCAGTTAGGAAACATCGAGTACAACATGAGTTTTTTGAAAGTGCGGTTAATCGTCGTACTTTCGCTAAGTTCGAAAAGAATTAGTTTTCTTTTTAAAAGCATCCTTGAATTCTTCTTATATGTAAAAGGTCGTTTTGATAGAGAAGTATTTTCAAACATTCCTCCCCTCCCCCCCCCCCCCCCCCNCCCCCCCCGTCTTTATCGTATCACTGGTCTTGCTTGTGTTGGTTGTGCTTCACTAAGTAAGGAGCTTTCTCTCCCAAGTGATGAAAATGCAAAAAGGCGATCACGGCCACGTGCGTTCCAAAGAAAACGTCCTTTCGCCCGACTGAGGGAACAGACGGCCCCTAATTGTTCGAATCTCGGCTCCTGAGAACGTAGGAGGAGGATCAGAGAGGTTGCGCACAGAGAGGAATCGAACTAACGTGGTCGATTTCCACGACATCCTGATCCCATAGAGGGGAAATTGTATTGAAGTCCCATGTGCTAGCCATTATCCTTACGAACAGCTAATGTTGATTGGCATGTAAATGAGTGACGGGTTACACAGCCTTATGAACGAAAAAGTAGTAATTCTAACGGTGAACAGTCTAAACTCTCAACTGGCCTCTCACTTGATTTCTTCAAGCAGCAGACTTGTTCCTCAAAAGGTTTTCTATGTTATGTCACGAGACCTCTCCAAAGAGATTTCCTTACGCTCTACTGCTATGCATGAAATGACGAGCGTTCGAAACTGGCTATTCACCCCTCATCTGAGACGTTTTTCAACACTCAACCATATTCGGCTAATGCGTGGTAGTTGAGGGGCGTCCTCCACCATTCACTCTAAAGCCATACGTCAACATCCCTTTTCAACCAGCGCAATAACAAAAAAAANAAAAAAAAGTTCCTTTTCTTTGATGCCTAGCAAACTTTCCGCTCACGGTTTTACTCTTTTTCGGAATGAATTGAGAGAATGATCCGAATTCTCAAAGCTTACAGAGAGATCATTGGAGTCTGAGAATGGGGTCGGAGTACTGGATGGGTATGAAGCATACAGCGAATCGGATGTCAGTCTAGCAGACTACAAGCATCCTCTACATAGAAAAAAAGTTTTAGGTCACTCAGTTCACAAGGAAGCGTTCCTATTGAAATCTGCAAACATTCGAGACTAGCAGAAACGGATGACTCTTTTAAAACGTGGAAAACTCAGGGCAGTAACTTGGAAAATGAACAACAAAAATTGAAGAAAAAACATCCAAGCAGTCTTTGGGAACCGAAAAATCCTTAACCCCGATCCTCTTAATCTCTGGGTTTCTTCAAGACATACCATCCCAAGTCTGAGTGATAGTGGTGGCAGATACAAGTACCTCATTAGGGGATGGAAGTGGTTGTATCTGCCATCACTACCGCATGGAAGTTTTATTGAGGAGCTCGAGGATACCACTTGTCCCATCAACTCTTTGTGTTGGTGGTTTCGTTTGTCGTTGTGATGGTGGAGGTGGTATTCGGCAATGACTACCTTTCCCGAAGTCTACACGACTGGTAAAGTTCTACCTCTACGGAGGCAAAAACATGCATCTCGAAATGAAGCCACCCTTTGGTAGCGAAAAAAAAAGTTTAGCAGAAAATATTGTTACTATGCGATTTTTGCTGACTTTTCATAATGCCTCCGAAAAATTGAAGGAATCGAATTTCAACAGTGCGTCTATTGGTCAGCGACGAGTACCTTGTCAATGAAAAAGTTCCAATCCCTAAATATAAGAACCCTAAACCCCTGTGAAGCAGAGCTGATCCTCTCCAACGATACAAGTTAAATAGTTCTCGTGACGGAGAGATTTTTGAAAAAAAAATAATTCTCAAGAAGTTCGAAAATTAAATCATCACTCAAGCCATTCCCTTGTCGTAAAAGTGCGGACAGTTTTTGGGGCATCTTCCCATCAAAACCGCTCTGACCAACGTTCGGACACCCTCGTTTTCTTCTTCGCTTTTTGCTCTTTTTGTACAAATTTGGGTGGGAGCCATCCAACCAAGAACGAATGATACATGCTTCCCATATTCCTAGTGAGGGAGGGTCTCGGAATTCCTCTGTAAATAGTTGTGGAGCTTTCAATATCTGCTTTATGTAAATGTAGGTATGGAACTCTATCACGATCAAATGCCGAACACTACGGTAGATTCGTGGAATTTCTCTGATCGAAAAGTCTTCGAAGGTTCATGGAATCAGAAAAACTCTCAAGTTGCAGGTCCCTAACTTTGGCCGGACAAGAACATTTTTCAGTATGAGAAATAAAAATGCAGCACAAAACAAAAACAAGTGGCTCTACGAAGAGCGTAAACGAACCGGTGGAGATACACGATGTCGAAAACTGTAAAACATTGAGGAATAGTAGTACATGCAGCATCATGTAGTTACCAGAGAGCAGTTGAAGAAGTATGTTGAGCTGGCGATTGAGGTATTTCTTTTTGTGAAGGGTCAGATGTGAAGGCGTGCCGCGTGTCCGAAGAACTGGTTGTGCTTGACTGCTGCTGGCGGAGGCGGCTCGTTAGCATTCGAAGATGGTCTTCCGGATTTAAAGCGAATGCACTTATTCTCAAACGCAATGGAGAAAAAAGGCATGCATTGTTGTTTATATGTTTTCTTATTTGTTTATTCAACATGCGCAACACGCTGCTTATGAAAATGAAATTGAAAAAAATAGAGAACCCCTAATGACTTCAATAATCACGATAGAAATAACTACCAGCATTTATTCATATAACTCTTGAAAAGGGTCTTCAGGCACAGGTAAAAGAGGCTGTAGCTCGGTTCTCACCCTAACAGAGTTTGATCTCAAGTTGTCTCATGTTTCAGCTCAACAGCAGTAGAATGTCTCTTTTCCATAGGGACAAGAATCCCGTTCGCAAACGAGATCCTGCAAAGGGTCAGGAATGGTGGGTGACTCATACCTAGTAGTTGCTGGGAAATGACTTAAGAGTAAAAGAAGACAAATTTGAAGCCATTTCTTCCCTATAATTGTAGGGGAGCTTACAGGTGGAGATGATTAAAACCCAAGACAGCACCTCAATGTATGCTTCAATGGCGACATTCAAGGATGTCTTGCTAAAGCCGAATTTAAGGATCATGTGTAGAAAACGGACAGTAGGAACGGTTTTATGTAATCAATCCGAAGCACGCGGCTGTCGCGGACCATCTGCCTCATTATAACAGTTCTAGCGTTCTTCATACAACTAGATTGCTATGTCTTTATTACTCATGGTATGTTTCTACCGTCAGTTCTTTTGTTCCTGTATTTCTTAATTGCCTGCTACATCCCTTCGCGCGCGGTGTCTCTTTCGCCGCGACGCGACAATTTCGATCCTACTGCACAACGCCCTCATTGAGTAGCAATTACAGGATCTGTATTGCTACTGAAAATTAACGAAGTGTGAGGAAATGGGTGGTCGCGGAGGGTTAACCGCTATTGAAGATATTGAGCAGGTATGCATGACTACTTTGACTGTGGTTCAGCGGTTTGAAGAAATGCGTAGTGGAATGTTTCTGAGTTGACAGTAGCGCCTACAAGGAAGATTTTTGAAGTCATAAGGTTCTCAGGAACATGCGAGCGTTTCAGATGATGGCTTTCTCTTGTTATTTTTGCGGAACATCATCAGCTTATAAATCTTAGACTGACAAACATCTTGACCTCCCCTGCACCTAGTGAACCGCCCGAGCTGAACATTCAAAGACTAAATTAGAAAACCATCAGAAAACCAGGTAACATCGAAGAGCTGCCTGGTGACAAAGAAACTCCGTTTTCAAGAAAAAAATCATCTGTATTCTTCGCAAGAAATCCGTGTGTAGGCCGGTTCCCAGATCCTACAAAAATCGAGTTTGTTTTCATATCAGTAGTTGGGATTATACAAGATGCTCACATCCTCTTCTTTCGTTCCTTTCCTTTCCTTTTTCCCGAANTAGGTCTAGAATTGATTTCACAAAGATGTAAACGCAAGGATCACTCAGTTGAAGGAATTCCTTCCATGATCAGCTATCTATACGATCGGCTGATCAGTTTAGCTCTAAAACTCTGTAACTTTGAGATCTTATCTTAATGCTGGAGGTACGCCACCAAGTAAACGCCTACACCCACCCACAAGTGACCGCATTCTCATTGCAAAGCACCAGGATATTATGGCGGTTTTATTCAAAACGGCTAAACGATTCCCAGCGATCTTCTTGCTCGATTCATTCATGCGGATGCCGTTAAAATCATCATTTCATGTTCTTGTCGACAACTTCCCCATCTTAGCCTATTATATGGCGCAAACCACATCAATGGTGGCTGGTGGTGAAAGCATGAAAGGAGTTTACGAGCATCCTTGGGAACTTCTTTTCATAAGCTTCTCCAACCTTCTCTAAACTTTTTACGAGCATCCTTGGGAACTTTTTTTTCATAAGCTTCTCCAACCTTCTCTGAACTTTACTGATGTTCTTCAGTTATTACAGTTCTCCTGAACTCTTTTTCAACCGATTTCAAGTGATATAACTCACAAGGGGACTTGGCAGTCTACTCATCAGCCGCTATGTTTATGGCTTCTGTAAACATCCTACTCAAAATCATAAGGGCTGATTTGTCAAATTCCGGTTTCTCTGTTTTTTTTTNTTTTTTTTTCAGACAGAACAGTAGATCTTGGAATGCTTTGACGCCTCCGAGATGAATTGGGAGGTCCTTCCGAATGGAAGGGAAGCAAGTCTAGGCAGATGCATCTGAAAAGAAAACCAACTTTCATAGTTTCCAACTAGAACCTTCTTTTTGCGAACCTCTCGATCATCTTCATAGAGTAATGAATCATATTTAAAACAACAAAAGAAAAATTAAACAGTGAGAGTTTTCTCCACCACTCAGCTCGTTCCCGAGCGTTTGCTTAAAATGATGGTGAATATGATGGAGACAATCAAGGTATACTTTAAAGCTCCCGAACCTATCTCTAAGACTTTCTGCTGCTTATTTTTGCAAAGGGCGGAGAGTTGTCTTTAATCACAATTTTCATCGTACTTCGCCATCATTAGAGCTTGAAAGTAAATAAATCACTCGAGATAAATCGTTCCTAACATAAGGCCAAATAATACATAAGGTACTCTTCCAACAGGAAGACCCCTTCCCTTCCCCTCCCCTCCCACCTCGGACCCATTTACACAAGCTACATGCTTACTTTGATTATTACAAGCAGTAGGTTAAAGTTTGGTGCCGTAACCAACGCAATGGCCCATCAACAAGGCTCTGCATCTTCTGGGTACGGGTATGGGTTGGGAAGCATGTACGAAGTTGCCACCCTGAAGCTAGATCATCGTATGCAGAGATAACACTTGGCTTTGACATGGCCGCCTTCACCGGTACTGGTTAAACAATACTTTTCCCTTTGAGCTCCATCTCTTTCCTCAAGGTTCCGGTCTTTCTTATTTTTTATTTTTCATCTCCTTGCTAATATGAACGCTT